AACAACAAAGCAGAGGAAGAAGAAGGGAACGACTTAAAATTATCATCATAAAAATGATAGAGACCCTCAAAGAAGATGTGAGAAAGCCCTTAAAGAAATGGAGAAAAAAACAAACAAAAAAGTGGAAGAAATGAACAAATTCCTTAAGGAACTTACAGAAAGCCAAGAAAAAACAATTAAGCAGGTGAAGGAAACAGTTCAAGACTTGAAAACTAAAATGGAGACAGTAAAGGCAACACAAACCGAAGGAATGCTGGAAGTTAAAATACTGGGCAAAAAATCAGGAACTACAGACACAAGCATAACCAACAGAATTCAAGAGATGGAAGAGAGAATCTCAGGCGTAGAAGATAAACTAGAAGGAATAGATTCATCGACCAAAGAAAATCATAAATCCAACAAATCCTTAACACAAAACATCCAGGAAATGTGAGACACCATGAAAAGGCCAAACTTAAGAATAATAGGCATAGAGGAAGGTGAGGAAGCCCAGCTTAAAGGTGCCGAAAACATATTCAACAAAATCATCAAGGAAAACTTTCCAAATCTGAAGAAGGACATGCCCATGAAAGTACAAGAAGCATACCAAACCCCAAATAGGCAGGGCCAAAGGAAAAAGACCCCTTGACATATAATAATCAAAACACCTAGCATACAGAATAAAGAAAGAATATTAAGAGCAGCGAATGAAAAAGGACAGGTAACATATAAAGGCAGACCTATCAAAATTACACCTGACTTCTCCATGGAAACCCTCAAGGCCAGAAGGTCCTGGATAGATGTTCTAAAAGTATTAAGAGAACACGGATGCCAGCCTAGGCTACTATATCCAGCAAAACTCTCAATCACTATAGATGGAGAAAACAAGATATTTAATAACAAAACCAGATTTTCCCAATACGTATCTACAAATCCAGCCCTACAGAAAGTATAGGAAGGAAAACTCCAACCCAAGGAAGGTAACTACACCGACAAAAATGTAGGCAACAGATAATCCAACTTCACCAGAAACCAAGGTTAAAGCAGAACTAATATATTCACAATACCACTGCCAACAACAAACCTAATTCAAACAAGCATCAACAATCAATGGTCCTTACTTACCCTCAACATTAATGCTCTTAACTCACCTATAAAAAGACACAGGCTAACAGAATGGATACGAAGACAGAATCCATCCTTCTGCTGCATACAAGAAACACATCTAAGCTTCAAAGATAGACATTACCTCAGGGTAAAGGGTTGGGAAAAGATTTTCCAATCAAATGGAAATAAGAAGCAAGCAGGTGTAGCTATCCTAATATCTAACAAGTTAGACTTCAAACCAAAATTAGTCAAAAGAGATGAAGACAGTCATTTCATATTCATTGCAGGAGAAATCCATCAACACAAAGTCTAAGTTCTGAACATCTATGCCCCTAATGCAAAGTCACCCACATTCATAAAAGAAACACTACTAAAACTCAAAGCTCATATAAAACCTCACACACTTATAGTGGGAGACTTCAATACACCACTTTCAACACTAGACACCACAAATCAGAAACTCAATGAAGAAACAAAAGAATTAACAGAAGTTATGTTTCAACTGGGGTTAACAGACATCTATAGAACATTCCATCCAAAGACAAAAGAATATACCTTCTTCTCTGCTCCACATGGAACCTTCTCTAAAATCGACCACATACTAGGTGACATAACAAACCTCAACAGATACAAGAGAATAGGCATAGTCCCTGTATCTTATTGGACCACCATGCTTTAAAATTGGAATTCAACAACAACACAAATAGCAGAAAACTTGCAAACACATGGAAACTGAACAACGTGCAATTGCAGCACACTAGGCTTCAAAGAATAAATAAATAAAAAAAATTAAGGACTTTCTAATATTCAACAAGAATGAGGACAAAACATACCTGAACTTATGGGACACCTTGAAAGCAGTGCTATGAGGGAAGTACATTGCACTAAGTGCCCATATGAAGAAAACAGAGGATAGTCACATAAGAGAATTAACAGCCCAACTGAAAGCCTTAGAACAGAGAGAAGCGAATTCACCCTGTAGGAGTAGACACCAGGAAATAATCAACTTGAGGGCTGAAATCAACAAAATAGAAACCAGGAAAACAATACAAAAAAATAAATGCAACGAAGAGTTGGTTTTTTGAGAAAATCAACAAGATAGACAAACCTTTATCCAAATTAACGAAAAAGCACAGAAAGAACATGCAAATTAACAAAATCAGAAATGAAAAGGGGAACATAACAACAGACACAGAGGAAATCCAGACAATTTTCAGGTCATACTTTGAAAATCTGTATTCCACACAAATTGAAAATTCAAAGGAAATGGACAAGTTTCTGGATAACTATCACTTACCAAAATTAAATCAAGAACAGACAAACAACTTAAATAGACCTATAACCGCAATGAAATAGAAGCAGTCATCGAAAGCCTTCCAACCAATAAAAGTCCAGGGCCAGATGGATTCAGCGCAGAATTCTACCAGACATTCAAGGAAGAACTAATACCACTACTCCTCAAACTGTTCCACAAGATAGAAACAGAAGGTTCATTGCCAAACTCTTTTTATGAGGCCACAATAACCTTGGTACCCAAGCCTCACAAAGACACAACTAAGAAACAAAACTACATACCAATATCCCTGATGAACATCGATGCAAAAATACTCAATAAAATACTGGCAAACCTAATTCAAGAATACATCAGAGCAATCATCTACCATGACCAAGTAGGATTCATCCCTGGAATGCAGGGATGGTTTAACATACGAAAATCTATCAATGTGATCCACCATATAAACAAACAGAAAAAGAAAAACCATATGATTAACTCCCTAGATGCGGAAAAAGCCTTCAACAAAATTCAACACCCTTTCATGATAAAGGTCTTGAAGAGGTCAGGGATAACAGGAACATACCTAAACATAATAAGAACAATATACAGCAAACCAACTACCAACATCAAAATGAATTGAAAGAAACTTTACCCAATCCCTCTAAAATCAGGAACAAGATAAGGCTGCCCTCTCTCTCCATATCTCTTCAATATCATTCTAGCTAATGCTATAAGACAACAAAAGGAGATCAAGGGGATCCAAATTGGAAAGGAAGAAGTCAAACTGTCTCTATTTGCAGATGATATGATAGTTTCCATAAGCGACCCAATAAACTCTACCAGGGAACTCCTACAGCTGATAAACACCTTCAGCAAACTAGCAGGATACAAGATAAACTCAAAAAAATCAGTAGCCCTCCTTTTTTTCAGACAACAAAGGGACACATCCCCCATGGAGGGATACCTGCCTTAATCTAGAGACAGGAGAGAAGCCCTTGTCCCTACTTCACATGACCTGTCAGACCTACATGACCCCTACTGGATGACATTCCCCTCATATGGAATTGGGGTGGGGGGATGGGAGGGTAGTTAGTGTGCATGTGAGAGGGCAGAGAGGGTAAAAGAGAGGGAAGGAGGGAGGGAGGAAGGGAGGGATTAAGGGAGTTTGGGAGGTATGGAGGGAGGAAGGGAGGGAGGGAGAGGGAACTGGGATTGACATGTGAAATAATAAATTAAATTAAAAAAAAAAATGCTTTGACTCCAAAATTTACGTTGAAGGACAAATTACTGGGGAAAAGGATTTCTATTTTTGTTTCCACAGAAAATGAAAAGATGTGGATTCCTTCCAGACTAATGTGGTTTGATCAAGCCAGACTGCCTGAAACAGAGTATGAGATGATCCTACATTCAAAACAGCTGGACAAAGCAGACTGACAGACTAAAGCCAGGATTTCTGAATCTTCTTGAATCCCCCATGACAGTGCCCCTTACCAGCAAGAAGTAGTTTGGAAAGAACAATGCCCAAATTCCCAAATATTGTCTAAAAATATTTGTTTTCATTTAAATGGACTTGGTTATATAAAATAAATAAATAAAATATATAGAAACTCAAAAAAAAAATACAGTGATAGAGATTTAGTTAAAGCTACCTTAATGGCAGTGACAGAACTGGTGCCTGTAGGTAGGTAATTCCCACCAGGCTGTGGCCTAAGGGGCTGGTGCACTGCTAGAGAATCAGGCTGGCAACTGCAGTCTCAATTTATGCCTGAAAGAGCAGTGTATTAAGGCACAGCCACTGTGCCAAGGTTAAAACAACAGCGTAGTGGCTTATACGTGTAATTCAAAGGTTTAAGTGGCAGAGATAGGAGAGGATGACTACCACAATATGAGTCTAACCCATATAACACAGAAAGTTCGAGGACAGTCTCAAGCTACAGAGTGAGGCCCTGTCTCAAAGCCAACATACATTCTAAAGGAATGACAGAAATCTCAAATCACTTGACAAATGATCCTGTCAATTACAGCAAATGGCAATCATTGGAAATCCTCAGATTTTGGTGGCAATGGTTAAAAAAGAATATTTAAAGTCTTTTATCACTGCTATACATGGTGATTAAAAAAAAAAACAAAAAAACCTGACAGCATGCAAAACTAAAGAGCCAATAGCATCATGGGAACTGATACTAGTACATAGGACTAAGATTAGACAATACTGAGTGAAAGGAATGCTGATTCTGTAATACGTTGGCAATATTTTAAGCTTAAGTTATTTCACTATTGAACAGAAAAAGCATTCTGAGATAACTTAATACTTTGCCCAGCCTTTTGCTAGATAGGTCTGAACTCTGCATTTGTAAAATAACCAAAGACAAAAACCTTATTTACCTTATAAACTAATCAATAATATAATATGTTTGCTGTCTGTCAATAGCATACATTATTGAAATGACAACTGATTATAGTTTTCTAGAAATGCTTTATTCCAACAGATTGGCAGTACGCACATTTGATAAAGTTTTCACTTAAAAAACCATGGCACACTTAGAAATATTTACTTTACTATATATTGGCTAAATTAGATATCATACACTTACAAATCATGTTTGTATGAGGCTGAGGCTTATAAAAACAAGCTTACCAAGACTGGGGTACCCAGGTGTAGAAGGATCTCCTCCTGGATTCAGTGTCACCATAAAGGTCTCAGAGCTAAGATCTTCAGACGTTGGTACATCACAAGGGTCAGTGTAGAGAAGAGCACCTCCAAACCCAGCCTTTTCCAATAAGGAAAGCTAAATAGGGTAAATAGGTTAAGGCATTATACACATTAGATATTCACATATTATTGCTTTCTTATTGTAGGCAAATGAAATAATTCATAATTCTTACAACATTTTTTTAAAAAGCTACTTTATTATATAAATAATATATCAAGAGGATATAAAATGTTATTTAACCAATTTATTACAAATAATATTTAATTTTATACTGAAATAAATACCTATTCAGATAAAATTCTGTATAATTATATTTTGTGAAATGAGCTTTCACTGAACTCAATCCTTCTGCAGGACCTTTGTACAAGCATTTGTTTCCATCTAAAACAGTCTTCTCTAAGTCTTCTTTTTCTTAAGTCTCTCTCTCTCTCTCTCCTTCCCTCCCTCCCTCCCTCTCTTTCTTACTTTCTCTGAGAGGCTTAGCTGAGTGCTCTATCAAACTGATACCCATGCTCTCCTAAGCCCTGTGGTTGTTAATAGCTATACTGAGTGTATTTGTCTGTGTTTCCAACATATGATAAGCTATCTAATTTATCACATCTTACCATTAGCCTAAAAGATCCAGAAAATCACATTAACAAAAGATGCCTTACTCAAGATACCATTATCATACTAACCACACAAATGTGTGGCAACTAAACATAAGGGAAACTGTCTAGAGTGAGGCAATGTGCCTCTCTTGGCATTGAATTCAGGTGCTGTCTGTCACAATGCCTGGCATGTAGATGATGCTAAATGAATGAGTCCTGCAGACTGATTACATGAGGCCTCGGCTTCACATAATTCTGAGCTGACTTTGTAATGCAGGCAGGTTCAACTTAGCAAGCAACAGCTTGCTTTTTAATTATTTTATTTTTTTAAACTTTCCTTTTATTTATTCTTTGTGTCTTTCACATTATGCATCTCAATCCCATTCTTCTTCCCATCCATTTTTATCTATGCTCTGCCATTGCATCCTTCCCCACTCCCTTCAAAATAAAAGAGAAAGAAAAGAAAATTAGAAAAGACAACTGCCCTCATGGAAGCAGTGAAGTGATGCAGTGAGTTATGCAGTATACTCTATACTCTTTAGTCCATACATCTTCACTTGCAAGTATTCATTGCAAAGAGTCATTTGTCTAGTTTGTGGCCTCTAGTTTCTGCTACACTACCGTTGCCCTCTGTTATGGAAATCCTTTAGCTTTGGGTCTGCAGCACTGGTTCCTTCATGAGCGTCAGCAGATCACAGGTGGGTGGATGTTGGTGTGGGCCAACTCTTAACCCTGGTTCTGTTCCTAGATAGTTGTAAGATTGGTCAGCCAGCCAGCTCTCCAGGGTGAGCTCTCCAGATTTGCTTCAGCTATTTTACCTTTTGCTTCAAAGGGCAAAGAACTGGCCAGTTCTTCTGCTCTCATGCCCTCAGGGCCAGCTTACCCACATCTACACCAGTTCTGTGTTGCCAAGGTGAGGTTCAGTATCTACTCTCCCCAGTGCTGCAGCTAGGGAGGGAAGGGTCAGCTTTCCCACTCTTAGCACAACAGGGCCCGCTCCCCCAGCTGTCACTGGTAGCAATGGGGGTGTCACTCCCTCACTCTCACCACCGTATGGTAGAAGAGTGGTTGGACCAATTATCCCAAGTTCACATTCTTGGGGCTGGTTCACCTGCAACTCTGGCAAGATCCACTTCTAAAGCGTATCTTTGGGAAGGGAAGATATACCTTTAATCTGGGTCACACTTTCTGGTGTCAATCTATAGAAAGGACAGTGAGGAAGGAAGCTTTCCATCTTTACTTGATTATTTTGCATTTAGCTGACAAGTCCATTCCTTCACTGGCATTAGAGCCTACTTATTTGGAATTCCAGTGTATAATGAAGACCAGCTGAGACATCAGCTTCATGGATTACACACTATTTGATTCTTGAACTCTCCATTTGTAGACAGCCATTGGTGGATGGAATAGTTTCACCACAGACGACAAGACATTCTAGTAAACAAGTGCGTGCATATTCTACAAGTTCTGTTTCTCTAGAAAACCCCTACTAATACAGTGAGTTCCACTAAGGTGTATTCCCTATTTTTAAACAAATAAATTGCAATTTCATTACAACTAAGGCATATGTGAGTATAGTCATCCCCTTCATATGTCTTTCTGTGGTTTCGATTCTTACTTTGTCTATATCTGTCTCTATTTCTCTGTCCCCTCCACCAAATTTCTACTCATCATCTTCCTTCTCCATCCCTCTGTTTGTTATTCTCCCTCCTTCCTTTCCCATTTCTCTCTCTTTACCTTTTCTTAGTGTTCTGGCCATGCTTTGTGACTGAAGAGATAGCTGAGAGGCATAACGCTTAAGTAGGATATGCAAGGCTCTGGGTTCATTTGCACTGAAAAAAGCAAGTTTATTCAGAATAGTACCCTCTTAGACTGCAATGTTTATTGAACCTTTTGCTTGAAAGTTATTTTACTAAAAAGCAATATATGCCTATTGTTAATTTTCATTAATTTATTTAAATTTTGTGTACTAAGCTATAATCCCTTTTATAAAAAATATAAAGAATCATACTTTTCTGCAGCTTATTAACTATAATGAAGCAGTGCGGAAAACTGAATACTCTTTTCTCAGGTAGATTGCTTCCCTGAGTCTTTAAGGTACAACACTTATGTGTACTGGCTTTCTCTTCTATCCTCCTTTGTAATTGTTGGCCTTGTGGCAAGAACTTCTGTGTTGTTAAATTTGGTCTCAAGTGTCATCTGTAGCTTGCATTCAGTAGCTTAATTCAGTAACTCTTAATTTCATGAATTATTTACTGGTGTATTTCCAAAGCAGTTGGCAGTAAAGGAGGCAATTTCCAAAATAAAGCCATGTATTAATACATCTGAGTGCACTAAATCACACAGAAACTGGTCCTATGCATATTGACGCAGCATTGTGAACATTCTAAGAGTCAGTTTAGCTAAAATGTTGAAAAAAACCTACTGCTAAATGACATATATATATATATGTATATATATGTGTGCGTGTGTGTGTGTATATATATGTGCCTATATATGCATATGTATGTATATGCATGTATGTATGCATATGATGTCAACTTGCCAACTTGACATAAACAAGAGACATCCAGGAAGGGGAAATTGCCTCAATCAGTATAGTTTGTAGGCATTACTATGAAACATTTTCCTGATTAATAATTTATGGGAGAGAGTCTAGAACATTGTGGGTGATATTCACCTTGGGCAGATGGTGAATTGAACAATAAAGAACTAAACAAGCCATGAGGGATAAGCCTGTAAGCACTGTTCCTCCATAGATTCTGCATATTTCTTGTCACCAGGTTTGTGTTTGAGCTCCTACCTTCACTGTTTCAGTGATGGAATGATACCATCAAGTGTAAGCTGAACAAATCTTTTTCTTCCACAAGTTAGCTTTGATAAGTGTTTTATAAAAACAACAGAAAATGTGTAGGATATGAAGAGATTATTATAAGTATTATATATTTATTAGTATTAATAAATGCAGTAAGAGCAATCTAGTATAAAGGGGTGAAAGCAGATAGGCTTATGCCATCTCTTTTTGGTGCAGGAAGACTGCCCATTGTCAAAGGTGAGAGTATTTAGCACTGTTCAGCAACATTTGCATCTAGGACAACTTTAGTCTGTGGATAATAACTGTATTAGCTGTATAATTCCTGAAACTAGGAGTCAATTGTTACATTACAATTTCCTACTTGGTTCTCGTCATGATGCTGCTAAACATACTGAAGTGGTTTATAGATTGGAGAGTCCAAGCAGACACAGTACACACTGTGCAAGAAACTGGTGATAAAGCAGATGACAAGAAGAAAAGTAATGCTTAATGCAGACCCTGGTCATCCACATTCCCTTTAGCTAGACTAGCTCATACTTTTTCTTTGAAAGGGTTTCTATTACTTGCAAGTAAATCCACATCAATCAACAGAAATTCAAAAGTGAATTATGATGCCCATTTTGACATCATGAAAATATGACAGCTTACGTGACCTGTCTCCTTGGTTTCATCATTTAGAAAATGTACAAATTGAACTACATTTTCCTCAAATATGTTTTCTTGTCCAAATTAAAAAACATGTAGTCTAACCGAATGATCTTAAGATGTCAACCAAGACTTAATTATTATTTTAAGCAGGTGTCTATTGTTTAACAAGGACATTTTCTCAGGAACTGCTGATAGGCAAATTTACTATTGTGCAAACTCTGCTCACACAAACTGGGATAGTCTATGTGGTCCAAGTATGTCATGACCACAGTTGAAAGAAACACACACACACATACACACACACACACACACACACACACACACACACTACATGTTGTCATATTTCAATTTTTCATCTAAAGCTATATATGCTGACACTTGCCTGTAATACTAGTACCTGGAGATTGTACAGAAAATTCAGTTCATGATCCACACCAGTTACATAAAGAGTTCAAAGCTATCCTGTGATACGTGAGTCCCTATCTCAACAATTAAACCCTAATGCCAACAAATTTACTTTTTAACCATTGGCCAGAAATGTATTCTCCAAAAATAATGATTTTTTCTGATTAAAAATATTTATAAATAATGTAGTTTTATTATTTGTTTTCTCAGAATATATTGTACTGGTATCTAATTTTGTATTACTCTCACATTAGATGTAGGTAATATTAAAGTAGTATCATTTTAATGTATTAAAACATCTGTGAGCAAGCAGACACATCCTTTCATTTCATTCAGATATAGATTGATATTACATTGTGCAATGCTAATTTTGTTTTAAAGCTTATTCATAACATTTATTCTCTAAACTTCAGGGCTTATTGGCACAGGGACTATTTATTATGTAATCATGTAAAGCTAAAGAAACACTGTTTTAATGGAACTAGCAACATTATGTTTATCATTGGAACATTTTTACTACTCTAAATGCTTCAATAAGTAGTCTGTTTCAAGAAGAAAACTTAGATGCTGTACAAATTTATTAAATGTGTTCATTCAAATTGCCTACACTGGTAAGT